CTTCTGCGTTTTCACTGGCGTCTGCGTATGCTGTCATTTATTCGATTATTAATTTTTAATGAGTTGCAGAGTGGTACTCCAAAGCAACAAAGTCAGTTCGTCAGTCTGGACTGCGGGACTTTCAGTATTCGCGAGTATAAGTCATCAACAGCCTAGCGCAGTCAACCCGCGCGTAAAATCTGCCATCTCCATCAGCCACATTTGCTACGAGAGGCCATCAAGACTTCGTCTGACCATTGCACTGAGCATCAAATAAGCCTTCATGGCCGGACACGCTACTCAAGACGGTGGGGGAATTATCACTGCGGCCCGGCCTGAACATCAATATAAACAACACCAAGGGTTGGCAGTGGAACTTGGTGTTGCGTCTATTGATGCAAAAAAACTATTTCAGAATATGCTTATATTTGCAAAGAGTAAATCGGTTTATAATGGAAATATTTAAGTCTTTACACGTGTTTATTGTCGGGAAAACTTCAGTGAAATCGTAAACATTTCTAGGAAAATCTTTATTTGAAGATCACTTATAACTTAAATTCCTGTTATCCTTATGTTGTAATTCATAACTTGAACCTAATTGAATAAAAAAAATGACCATACGTGTTTCCAAAGACTTGCCAATCAAACATTTGCGACATTTTAAGTATAATCTCTTGAGCATTTTTGATCCCCTTTATGGGTATTGTTGTCTTGCTTATTATTTACCCCTTAAACATTGTTGACCATCCCTTGACTTGTATTAATATTTGATTAACATTGATCCCTTGAATATTGTTTCTTCATTATTAATATCTTAAGTATTCTTGAATTATTATTCTTAAGATATTTCTTTAACTTTACTAATCCCTTTATATTAATGAACTATTGATCATTAGAGATAGCTTGAACTCCTTTGTTTAAACTTTTGTCACCTTCAGTATATTTCCTGGACATTATTGATCACTTGTACATAATTGAGCCCTTGAGCTCTGTTGATCGCTTAGACATTGATTTATTGAACTATACAGTACCCTGAACATGAAAGGTACCCTGAACATCAAAAGTACCCAGAACATTTTTTCTTGACTAAATATGTTTTTACCATAAATTATTTTTAAAGCATTATTGACCCTCGTACACATTATTGATCTCGTGAACTTTTTCGGCCATTTTGAAGTTGATATCCGAAATATTATTGGTCTGATAAACGTTATTATTCCCATAATCGTCAATAATCAATGAGACATTGTTCATTACATCAACAATATTGATGTATAAAACATGGTTGATCATTTTCTAACCATCGCTGCTCACCTCTGCAGCCTATGTAATAAGTTCACCAATGTTAATCTTCGCGACACCAGTCATAACTTTGCTGACCAGTTGACCTTTATTAGTTCTGTACCTGGAAAATGTGTGATCATTGCAACACCCACAAATACTGAAACACTCCACTACCCACCCCAATTCCACCACATCATCCTCAGTCACTGCATCATAGCACTGCAACACCCACAACCACCTCAACACCCACCCACAACCGCACTGCATTACATCCCCCCCCTCCGTCAACCACCTCAGCACCTACAACAGCACCCACTGCAACACACCACTATAACACCCACTAATATCGCCACCTGCATGGCTACAAAGCCGCCTTACCTCTTCCTCCTGGCTAGACTTCTCCGTAACCTCCACAGATCTCCATAATACCCACTAGTGTGTAAACATCAAAATATCATTTAACTATTAGTGGTAAAATGACAAAAATATATCGGCTTAAAGTCTCCGTGACACGTCAACAAATATATTGTGCTAGAATAGGCTTTTAAAGTTATTATATTATATTGTTGCAAGGAAAAATAACGTTTTAGTGACGTTGTTGGATCAGAGGCGGAGATGTTACTCCAAGGTAACAACAGGGACTCTGCAAGAGATTGGGATGAATAGGCTATTGCCAATCATATGCAATTGTATTTGTTAGTCAGTTTGTGTTTATTTGTTCTCATTTAACCGATATCAAAGCAGGGAGCGTCTGCCTTCAGTTGACAATGAAATCCGTGTGTATACTAAAGTACGATCCGGAATATTTTAATGGAACGTGGTTTTGAGAGAAAAGCCTAGCTTTTAATTTCTTGAGCCACTGAACTATCAGGGTTTCTGTAATAGTATTTCTAGGCAAAATTTTCGAGATGGATGACTAAACGTAAACAGTATATATATATAAATATATATATATATATATATATATCTTCATAATTTTTTTAAATATTTGAATAATAATTAACAAATACATAGGTTGATGAATTACAAGGATGATTTATACATGCCTGTGTATAGCATAGTACAGTGGTATGTTCATACATACCTATGTATATCATAGTGTAATGATGTGTATATACGTATATACATGCCTGTGTATAAGGAAGCTATTTAGGATTAATTTTTAACATAAATTATATCAGTGATTCCAAGGATTTAATATTATTATAATCATAATATCCACCGTCCAAGTAGTAAGACAAGAGGCTTAGGGGCCACGCCAGAGGCTTAGGGCCTGCGCCAGAGGCTTAGGGCCCGCGCCAGAGGCTTAGGGCCCGCGCCTGAGGTTTAGGGCCCGCGCCAGAGGCTTAGGGCCAGCGTTGGAATATCCAAGCAAACAAAAAATTTTTATACTTCATTATAAATGTTATGTAATAAAACATTTCCATAGTTTTACAATAGTTTTCAAAATTTAGACTTTTATTTGGAACTTAATTTAACTAAATGGGTATTTTAAATAACTTTAGGGAGATTAGGAATGAACATAGGCTATAAAACAGAGAGCTGTTTCCACTGTTGTATATTCAATGACTTAGTAGAGGCTGACCTCACTACTTTACTGGATAATATCCGACAATCTTTCCTTTTACTTTGTAAAACATGACTTCATTTACTCATAGACAAGACTATACGATCGGCTTACATGATTACATGGGCAGCATATGACCTCATTTAACTATAGACAGGACTATATGGGCGGCTGCCATGATCTCGGGGTTGGAATATAACCTCATTTATGCCTAGGCTAGACTAGGGTCTGCTATCATGATCCTGGGGTCGGATATAGCCGTGTGTTCTGACATGCTGGTCCCATTGCCGATCTCTGGCTGAGGAAGTGACTAGGATGGGACGGACAAAGCTCACGGGGTGTGGAACTTACCCGTGATGAAGTACACTGAGAAGAGATAATTTCTAGCAACTTGACTAGGGAGGAGAGACCAAAACTACGAAAGTGACCTAGGAAACCATTGGAAGAGAAGTGACCTGGAAACAGGAGGGACTATACCTGACGTATAGTCCCGTAACCTGGAAGGAGTGGAGACCCGAGCCTCAAAGTGACCTGGGAGGGGGAGACCACAGCCCCAATGTGACCTAGGGATCAGGAGAGAGAGAGAGAGACAGAGAGAAAGAGAGAGAGAGAGAGACCGGAAGAGAGTGAGTGACTAAGAGACGAGAGCTGGAAGGGGAGCGTGAGGCTGGGGCCCTGTGTTGACATGTGACGCGAGCTGACGAGGCGGCTGGTGATGTTGCAGATCCTCTCCCGTGACCACGTGACAGTAGCCGTGGATGCTGTGGTTTACTACCGGGTCCACGATCCTGTCATGGCCGAGAACAATGTGGAGGACTACAGGTAGTCAGGCGAGGGCCCTCCAGTCCAGCTCTAGTTTATACTAGCCCCCCTTCTTCAACTCCTCCTCCTCCTTACCCCCCATCAGTAGTCACCCACCACCTAGCCTTATGGTCCCTCTTCAGTGTCCGCTTGTACACTACTGACGTCAAGGCACTCTGGGACCTTTTGGCTAAACTGTTGTGGGGTGGTCTAACTTTATATATATATATATATATATATATATATATATATATATATATATATATATATATATATATATGCATACATATACATATACATACATATCCTGCGGCAGTCCCTAGCTTGCGGCTAGCCCAACGGTCCCTCTACCGCATGGGAAGGCAACATATACACACACTCGTGCGGTTCACACGGACGGTTGGGCTAAACTGCCGGTGGCTCGTTGATTTGTCTGTTGTTTTTGTTGAGGCCATGGTGACATTGTGTTGGTGGGTGTCCCCGGGGCGGAGCGGCCCGCCGGGTACATGTTGGTAGCTCTCCCGCGCCCCCTCACTCCCGCCGGCGCCAACGGGAACACTTGTAAACAACAGCATGTCACCATTCGCTTCCTTTGGCGCTGTGAGTAGTTTGGTGCCCTATGCTGCTGCTGCTGCTACGGCTGTTGCTCTTCCCTCTGCCCTTTATGCCACAAATGTTTGCGCCTGTTATCCAACCTGCTTGAATGTCCCTCTGCTTGATACATCCCCCTACCTTTCCTCCTCCTCTTCCTACATCTCGCCCACTTCGCCTGTGCCTAACCTCCTTCATTTCTTTGTATTCTTTCCCCCCATTCCCCCCATATCGCTACTTGCCAGCCAGCCCCTTGCTTCTGCTGGTGATATTGTGGTTGGTAGTGCTGCTTCTGCTGTTCTGCTGCTCTGCTTCGTGCTATTATTAACGTTCTTACTAACTGTTCCAACAATATTCCTCTTTTCCCCCCCTCCCTACCTCCTTTTATATCCCGGCCCTTCGTACTCATTATGTGTGTGTGTGTGTGTGTGTGTGTGTGTGTGTGTGTGTGTGTGTGTGTGTGTGTGTGTGTGTGTGTGTGTGTGTGTGTGTGTGTGTGTATTCGCCACGGAACGTCCTTTGTCCCGACATACTTTCACATTTATCCTCTTCCTCTCGTCACTCAGAACCCCACTTTAACAACTCCCTCCCGCTCTCCTCTTCTCTCTCTCTCTCTCTTCCTTTCCCTTTCTCTCTCTCTCTCTCTCTCTCTCTCTCTCTCTCTCTCTCTCTCTCTCTCTCTCTCTCTCTCTCTCTCTCTCTCTCTCTCTCTCTCTCTCTCTCTCTCTCACTCAGGAACCGTTCCCTGAGCCTCTCTCCTCACCCCCTTGCTTTTCAGATTCTGTCTCGAGACTCTGTGACCGTGTCGGTGGATGCCGTTGTTTACTACCGTGTGTCGGACCCAATTATGGCAGAAACTAACGTAGAGGATTACAGGTACACGGCAACTTTGGCAACGCCGCTTTCCTCTATCCCCCCTCCCCTACCACCCATGGCAACGCCGCTTTTGCATCTATCATGGTTGCCACTGTCACACTGGTGTGATCTATGACGAGAGGCCATACTGATTACTGAAAGTGATTGATACAACTATTTACACAAACGACTGCCAAAGAATCTCTAATTTGAAAAGTGTTCTCACTGTATGTTTTCGGTTTTTATTGGTTTGTTTATTTCAAGTTTGTTTTTTTGTTGGTTTTTTGTTTAGTTTTTTGCTTTAAGGTACATTATATGGGTTTAATCAATGTACATACTTATTGTTCTAACTCCCGTCCAAGCATACAGATTAATCACTACCAAATGATATCAAGGATACTAAAACTGATCAGCTTGTAGCATAATCATCAAAAGTTGGTTTCAATAATAGCATAATGTTTTTAGTAAGAGAAATAGTGAACACTGCCATGATGCCTCGAACTCGAGACACAGAGTCATCACGGGGGAATATGCACCAATTAGAAATTAGATCTTTGGCTGTTCTTGATTTCCATTGGTGGCGTAGGTTATGCTGTACTAAAAGGCCTATTCTTCACGTAGTAGCCCATCTTTGACTTGCATGGTGCACCTCCTGCTCAAATCCTTGTCGTGTTTTCAGAGGCCCCTCAACCCCATCTTCGTTGCAATGTAAGTTAACGTTAGCCACTAGACTGTCTCCTCACCTCTGGTAGTGTGTAGTTCCTACACCAGGTGGCGAAGAGTTTGGAGATCTCATTGTAGCTCCTACACTAGGGATAGAAGGGTTTGGAGATCTCATTGTAGCTCCTACACTAGGGGGTAGAAGGGCTTGGAGATCTCAGTGTAGCTCCTACACTAGGGGGGTAGAAGGGCTTGGAGATCTCATTGTAGCTCCTTCACTAGGGGTAGAAGGGCTTGGAGATCTCATTGTAACTCCTACACTAGGTGTAGAAGGGCTTGGAGATCTCATTGTAGTTTCTACACTAGAGGTAGGAGGACTTGGAGATCTCAGTGCAGCTCCTACACTAGGGGTAGAAGGGCTTGGAGATCTCATTGTAGCTCCTACACTAGGGGTAGAAGGGCTTGGAGATCTCATTGTAACTCCTACACTAGGGGTAAAAGGGCTTGGAGATCTAATTGTAGCTCCTACACTAGGGGTAGAAGGACTTGGAGATCTCATTGTAGCTCCTACACTATGGGTAGAAGGACTTGGAGATCTCATTGTAGCTCCTACACTGGGGGTAGGAAGGCTTGGAGATCTTACTTTATACCTTATACACATTCCCCTCTGGTAAGAACCCCACTACACATGTGGTCTCACATCTGCCACGGAATTGAACGGAAATATAAGGGGAAATACGTACCATATTTCACCCACTCGTGAATATCAAGGAGATGCAAACATTGCACTTGTCTTCCCGTGTGAGGCTACGTGTCTATAATATAACGAAGATAGGCCTACATTTAGTGTCTGGTTCTGTGTATTGTGGGTTGTATCATCTGATATAAAGAAATAGGCTTCAAAAATAGGCTTCAGTCACGTAATTGGGTTTTGTATTGCACTTGTTCGTTAAAAAAGAGTCTTTTTTTACCGCCTAGCTGACTGACGCTTGATGATCGTCTCTTTTATACCGAGCAATGAACTATGTTTTGTGAGAGTTTTCGTGTCGTGTAGTACACTGCTCAAGAGTTTACGTGTCGTGCAGTACACTGCTCAAGAGTTTACGTGTCGTGCAGTACACTGCTCAAGAGTTTACATGTCGTGCAGTACACTGCTCAAGAGTTTACGTGTTTTGCAGCATACTGCATAAGAGTGTACGTGTCACTTACATATTTCAAGATATATATATATATATATATATATATATATATATATATATATATATATATATATTAAATTGCAGTTCTCCGTATTGCATTACACTAGGCTAACTGAGAGATAATGAGGTTCCTTAATGATAAATGTTTAAGATAACCGCAAAGTTACAATAATGCGAATCCTAAATTTTCAAATTTCAATTATCAATGAGAACGAGTCTCATTAATTGGGCAATTCAGCCACAGCACCAAATAGAGACAGTTTCTCCATACGTGTATGAAGACAAATTTGTATACACTTGGACTGGTCAGTACAGCATAGCAATTCAGTGTATGATGATCGAAGCGCTTGGGCACCGTTTCTGTGGTGTTATCAGTCACCACAGAAACAGCTCTTGGACTCTTAGACAGCTCTTGGACTCTCCTCATATCCCGGCTCTGCTCTCGCATCTCAGCTTTGAGTATATCCTCAGATCCCAACGCCTTGTTCTCATATTACTTTCAAATGCTTTATAAATCTTACCGTCTTATGAAGCCTTATTCTCATAATTACCTTTCCTTCCATTTTTGGAAGGTGTATATACAGCGAAAAGTATGATAAAGTATATACACTTAGAGTTTATTTTTGTCCAGAACTGTCTTCTGGACAAAAGTGTATTTATCAGTAGGCTCGGGACGACCTCAAGTGCATTGTGGCGAGTCCGAGCCGACAGTGGCGAGTCCGAGCCGACAATGAAGAGTCCGAGCCCACAGTGAAGAGTCCGAGCCGACAATGGAGAGTCCGAGCCCACAGTGGAGAGTCCGAGCCCACAGTGAAGAGTCCGAGCCCCTCATTTAGTCTATTTGAGCGGTATTAAACCTAAGCGTTTTATTAACGTCTATCAATATATATATATATATATATATATATATATATATATATATATATATATATATATATATATATATATATATATATTTATATTATATATATATATATATATATATATATATATATATATATATATATATATATATATATATATATATATAAACATCACGTAACTCTGTAACATTATGATTTAATCTATAAGACGAAGGATTGTATGCAGAAAAAATGTTTGCTCATATTTAGAAGTGAAAGAGTAGTGACACGCTGTGTAAAGTTGGCTTCTGGAACACACTAATACTCCTCAAGTGTGTTCATAGTTACCATAAATTATATATCATAGCTTTGCTTGTTCTGTAATGATTCTTGTTTATTTTTTTTAAGGGGGGGGGGGAGTATATCCCTTAATGCTATTATACAGATTATAATGACATATTTCTAATACAAAAGGCACTGGTGTATGATAGACATTTCATGATAACATTTTTAAATAAGAAATTGATGATTGCTTACCTTTTTTTAAAGTTGAAATTGCGCAACGTTTATTGTTTAAAATTCCACATAATTTGTTTTCCAGTTTTGAATTAAAATTTGTATTCATAAGTGTGTTTCGTATAAATAGCCTATTCCGCAAAAATATTATTAAACTCGGCTTTTAATTCAAATTTTGTCTTCATAATTTTTAACCATTGATGTTTACGAAAGGTTTCATTGCTGATAAACTAGCTTTTAAATATTTTCTGGATATTGCAGTAGTGATAACTTGATGACGCAAGAGGGACAGAAATAAGAGGCCGGGAATCTGCCTAATCTCCAACTGTGCAGCTTGGAAGAAAATCTGCCAGAAATCCTAGCAAACGTATACCAATCTTAGTCTACTAATTATGAAAACATTATATTGATTTGTTTTAAGAACCCCCCCTTTACATATTTATTGTAAAAGCCCCTTTACTTGGCGCATTACTGAGAGGAATATATGTATTTATGAACTGGTTCACCCCCCAACAGAAGGGGAACAGGTTCCACAAGTAGCAGAATATCGCCCTCGCTACCCATTGACAGCTGACTCCCCTCCCCGTACACAGTCCTCCTGACTATACTCAGACTTAGTTGACTTCTATGTGTGTATGTATGTGTGTGTGTGTGTGTTTGTGTGTGTATATGTGTGCGTGTGAGTGCGTGCGTGCGCGTGTGTGGTAATCATTTTTGTTGGCTAAGTTGCAGTATTTGGTTTGCAAATCCACAAAAGGCTGGGTTTTATTCCTTATGTTATTATATTTATGTCTAGTTTCCCATTGTTTTATTTATGTTTATATGACACCTTTGTTTTTTCTCCTTTTGTTGCCATCTTCACTGTGTTGATCCTCTACAACAGTGACCAGAAGAGGAATTCAAACGGGGATCTCTCCCAGTATCTAATCCTGTGTACATTGGAGCAAGTAGGCCACCGCTTGAGGAATGGCTGGTTGTTATGCTCTCTCAAAAGGACTGTTAATGCTCGGAGATTCCCTCCGCAACTCTTCTTATTTCCTTCATAATTGCTTTGATTTCTGATCTGAGCAATAATCATTTAGCCTGACCACAGTGTGGAGGCGTCAGCTAAATTTTATGGGGTTTCTTTTCTACGAAATAATGTTTTTTGAGAGAGCGTGGCAGCTTGTTTTGGCCTAAAGTGACGGCGTCCTTGTCATGAAGTTCTCAACTAACCGGAAAAAGCATCACCACCCTCTCAGTAGCTCCTACCTGTCATCAGGTATTTACACCGAGTCATCAGTAGTCGGGTGCACTCAAATAAGTCTTCTTTTAATTAAAAATATTGACGTAAAAGAAAATGCGTGCTACAAATTGTCCCGTTAAAAAAACAACAACAGATATTCGTATTCGATTTTCCGTAGTCAGATCCCCTCGGCAGAGTATATCTTTTTCCACGCTTGCCAGTGCTAACATTTCCTTAGTTAAATGAAAATTGAAGGCAGACGAAAAGCTCATCATTTACTTTCAGCCTTGACAGCGCTTGCAAGAGGGTCGTCTCCAAGTACGGTCCATATGGGAAAATGAACCTTTTGGGGAAAATTCTTTGGAACGTCACACAGTGATGATGGTGTTCCATTTTACGAGTTGGCTGCCAGATACTGAGAGAACTTGTGCCAAAAGTATAAAGTGAGGCTCGAGAGGGAAGGGATGAGGAAGAGAGAAGAGATAGAGATAGCATCTAAGCCTCGCCGCATCTCTGATCTCGCCGGAGCCTTATTTCAATAGGTTTCTTTTAAAATACAGTAGTAGGGGAGGTAAAAAT